TTTTTGAATGTGAATATTCAACATTTCAGTTTGCAACTATGTTTGGAATGACATTGACTCCTTTTTGAATACTTTTGATATTAATACAGTCAGGCACTTTGTAACATAGTTTCAATTATCGGGGAGTTTTCAATTGAATTTCAATGTGGATACTGATTTTGGCTTTAGATATCCGTGTTTCATATATTCGAATAGTACAACTTTCTGTTATACGAAATATATGTTGAAAAATTCTTGGATTATAATTTGAACAAAACTACTTGATATTTGTTCATCGTTTCGACTCTCAAGCGAATCTAAATATTTTAATTTATATGGGAAAATTAAACTAGCGACAACCAACCAAGGGAATTCTTACCACAGCTTTGGAGCATAAGAAGAAGAAGATAAAAGCCACAAAGCGCTTGAGTGAAGATGCCAGAAATGCATCCAGATCAAAAGCATTCACTTTATCAGCGAAAAAGAATTTATGGGTGGTTGGCTCCATGCGAATGCTTCTGAAATCAAGAACGCGACTTATATTGTTTTTTTTTCCTCTCATCTGGATGGTCTTGCCTGGCTTGACTTCTCTCGTTTTATTTTTAAATACTATATCACGAGAAATCGCGAGCCACAATTTCCAGATATATGCACCATCAAAATGATTTGCATTTATATTGGAATTGCATCATGTTTGTTATGCAAAACATTGCAATGCACATTCACTATTTAACGTGTATTTTCTGCCAAACGTTTCCGTATTAAATACGTGCAGAAATTTAACACGAATTTTACGTTAGGCTCATTGTATGTCACACAAACCAAATTCAAAGTGTTCACGGACCATGTGGCATGAAGCAATTCAAAAATTTGCCGATATGACTTTCGAGCACCAAGAGACGATGAGAAAAAAAACACAAACATGTCAAGAGCTGTGAAAATTGAAACACAAGTCGGCTCTTGTTGGATATTGAATTTGTGTTGCCACACACTCAAGCCAACTCTCCAGCTTCCAAGTATAATGCTCCATCTCGGTCGCATATATAAATGTGTTTGGGAGTTTTATTGGTTTAATTTCGTAACAATTCCGCAGCTTCTACGAACAAGGTGGTTTACGTGAAGTGAATATTTTATGGTTTATAAATGAAGCGAGAAGAAAAAAAATAAAATGAAATATTTGCCTCTGCACACATGAATGATTCGTCGAACAAAGTTCAAATGACTCGAAATTCAACAGTCGAATTTATAGTCACAAGTACGAAGTAGTGGAGAAGATGAAGAAAGCTTCGTTATTTTGAAACCCATACGATGTATGCATCAGCGTATTGAACTAATTACATCAGAAAATAGCTGCACTGCACCAAAAGCATCACATGATCACTTTGCATGGTTTTCAAATATACGTGTGTAGATATGCGATAGCATGGGCATGTGTTACTGTAATTCGAAAATTGTAAAATATTTTCTTGTGAATTTCTCGTTTTTTTGCCATTGCCATACGACGACGACGAAATTTTTTATGGTTTTTATGTCTCTGGTTTTTTTTTTGTGTGTCGGTAACATTTCGTAACGAATTCCAAGCAGAAATGTGCAGAATTACTTTTTTCCCTGTATCGGTCAAGCAATTATTTACAATTGTTTTCGGTGAAATTGCAGTGAATTGTTATCGGAAGCCAACACAACACCCCAAAACCGCACAAATACCATAAATTGAATTGATAGTATCTGACGAAAATTTGCATAACTAACTATGGGAACGGTGTACACTGCAATCGAATAATTGAATATATTTTCAATGTTATAAATTTGAAATTGGGGCGGGTCCGGCTGTGAAATGATGGCACAGCATGAATGAAAAGTAATTCGATTTATATTGATGAGGCAAACGAATGAACAAACACTAGAAACATACAATCTCCCATAAATTGTGTGCATGCAATTCCACTACTCTTTTGCAGCTGATATACATATCATTTTACGAATCATATCAGTTATAACAGTGCTGCTGATCGATGATAATGTTTGCAATTTTACTGTGATGTGTCAGCTCAGTTCAAGTGGAAAATGTAACACTTAAAATTAAAAAAAGATGTCATACACAAACTCCCTTGCTCAGATATCTATGCATTGAAGCGAAAGTCGATCTCAGCAAAAGTTCAATGATTTTTCGATCCGATTTGTATTGTTGATTTCTACATCAACGTACAACCACAGACATACACACACACACACACACACACACGTTGACAATGAAACGTAGAATAGTCTACTTCTATTAGCGGAAATGTCAATTTAGATGAGTAAAATGGAATAAAAATACGCTGCTGTGAACCTCACGGTTAAATTAAAAATTCATCGTAGACTTTGCTTGTCCGAATGGCGTTGAATGTGTGTGACGTCGGTCGGCAGTCTCAACAAAAGCGGCAGACGGGAGTCATTTTTCATAAATGGCTTTTGCTGTGTGTATGATGAAGAAAAAAAAACAGTAGAGACTCCATTCAGAGTGAGCTGTGCGTCGCACTGCATACACACAGCATGCAGGCAAGAAATCTGAAACGATTTTCTATTTTTGAGCGAAAAGTGTATGAATGTCTGCATGTTTGCCAATATAGTTTTCGAGTCAATTTTTTTTTATCGTTTTCTCTGCCTTTGTCTCGTTCATGCAGTCGTTGTCAAATGCAAACGAAGATTAAATGGAATAATCTAGTATTTCTGATGTTAATTTGCTATCTAGCAGCTGATGGTTTAATCCATCATACAAACATGAGCGCTTTGGCGCATATACATAAATTACTATCTACTCCGCAATATAATGTACATCTCGCTCTCTCACCGACTCGCCCGCTGTCTGATATCGGTTGTTGTTAGCGCGAGCTGTGCAGCAATCTCTGCTCACGTAATTAAATGATTTATGCACTCGTTCGATGTTGCGAGCTTTTACGGCGTGCCGAAGCGACAGTGTAAAAATACAGTTATTCACTGTATCGAAAATCAATGGGACGCTGCGGAGGTGCAAAGCAAACGGCAACTGTAACAACATCGAGGTTCGCTTCCTTTTTTTTCTATATTTAAATGTATATGTGCTTTGAAACTTTCACCGCAAAAGCTATTCGCACGAATGAAATAAAAAAAAATTACTTGGGTACGTGTGTCGCTTCGATTGCACATAAATAAACAGTCTCTTGTACAAGGGACGATAAGAGCAAACAGGAAGCCCGCTATCGAACATCGGAATAACCAAAATCACAAAATAAATAAAAGCAATCTCGGTCGTATGTTCATATAAGCAAATGAATAAATTGCATTCGATAAGAGAATACAAATTACTGCAATCGCAAATAAACCATTCCATAAAACGGTTATTCAACGATTTGTGCTAAGCTACGTGTTTACATGCTAAAGACAACCAACGAATTTATTGGGAGATATTAAGACTTTGAGAGGGTGGGAGAGAAAAAGAGAATGAAAGACTCAATAATGTTGTTGGTGCAAAATGAAAACATGGATTTGAAGCTTAGTGTGTCGGTGCTGCGACACCAAGTTAGGCAAAATTGCATGAATTTCGATTCATAGACACATGCTTAAACAGTTCAATTTTCGATTGCATTGTAAATCCCAGACGCAGTGAACGACAATCATAAAAATCTATTGACTAACAAATTTATTCGGTGTACGGGATCGCATCTCATCTCTCATTCTCTCCCAGGAAGGAATTCCCCAAAAAAGGACATGTGATGCGCAGTTACGTTTTTAGTTTCAAACATTCATTTAATGGAGAAAACATCAGCCGTTACAATTGCTGCGCTCCAAATAACCGGAAGAGCGCCGGCAATAAAGAACCGATTGGAATTCGACAAAATAATTGATGACTGGTATTGATGGCTGGTATTGTGTCCCGTCTTCATCATTGGCCGTTATTTTTTAAGATAAAATGATTGCGCACATCAACAACATTTCACTATGAACGCACGTTTTACTGATGGATTTGGCAACACGTTGAAAAGTTATCATATGAAAAGCCATCCAAACGAAAATAAATCTAAATCTAACAACGAGAGAATAAATCTCTCAATTTTTATGGTTTCGTATAATTCAAATGAATGAAAACGTGCTTTGCTTGCTTACGGTCCATTTCTCAAGTGTACGACGTTTATTTTATTTTTAAATTATGTCGATATATCAACTTCTATTCCATCGCGTAGCCACATATAAAAGCTTAGATCGTGCCAAATGTGTAAGGGCTTTTTTTTGCACATATTTCGTTCGTTAAGTTACTCACTCGTTCGCTCCATCGATGAAAAAGAGCACACTAACACACACAAATAAAAATGATAAAGTAAATTCGCGTGGAAATTTGCTCCTGTTGAGAATAACAATGCGGTGTCGTTGTTCTAAGCGAACTCAAACAAGTAAACACGAACACGTTCAACGTGTGCTCATATGGTTTTTTTTTCTGTTTATCTCCGACCACATAACATGCGCTTTTGCAACACTTTCGGCAATTTCACATCAATAAAAACTGACGTACACTAGCTTGTAGCACAACATGATTTTAAGTGGTAATGAAAACAGAGAAATTTTGTTGACTGTTGTAGCTTATCGGTTTTTTTTCGGAGAAATAGACCAGATTGTATGTGTGTAGAGATGAAAAATGAAAAGAAAAATCATCTACTTCCATTTCAAATTACAATTCATGACAGACAAGGAAAAAAAAGTAATAAAAAATGCGACTCTCAAATCATCCCTATTGCTCCAATTTAACGATGCCAGAGATCTTCGAACTCTGATACAGAAATATTTACTGTTTACATGAATATCATTTACATGAAAATATATTTGTGGGAAATCTGTTTTAAAAGAAAAATTGCAAATCATTTTAAATAATAAGAGAAAGAGAAACGAAGCTCTGTCTAATACAAAACTATGAATTATTATAACAAATGTGATGAATCATGCAAGTGGATTGAATACAATTATTCAAACACACACAATTGTGTAGAATCATTCTAATTTCCCTTTACCTGGCACTCCAATATGTTTTCAGTTATGCAACAATTCAGTTATTCAGTGAATAAACAATTTTTCGTTAAGCACTTTATTCAAGCTGCTTTGATGCGGTGTTCACAGAAAATCCTCTGTCAAGCTCTGTTTAGAATGTACTAAGAATGTGAAAACATGAAATAAAAACAAAGAATGAAATTAATTCATTGAAAATTCAGTTTTCGAACAATTTACGGTAGTCATATATGCTTTGTGTGTTCAAAAGTAAACAGTGAATTCATTTATAACGAAATATTTGACATTAGCAGAGAATGCCGAAAAAAAAAAAAAAACAACAACAACTTTTCTATACACCCATAAAAGTTAATTGTTTAACATAGTTGTATGTTATGTGCTCTTCATGCCGTTACAGCGATGAACTTGTAACAGAGAAACAAACAAAAATCGCATTCATATAAAGTGGAAGATAAATCAGAAACTGTACTTGTATTTATGACATGCATGTATTTGGCCCCAAAAACCAATATTTAAACGCATTAAAACTATAATATTTTGATGGATAAAAACCGAAACGTTTCGGCTTTTCCAATTGCACGAGTATTCAATTTGTGACAACAAACATATTTTAATAATATGATATTTTCTGCCATAAACTTTATCGTTTTGATCATTCCACAGTGTAAATTTTGTTGGGTTGAGTTCCAGTGCGAGTTTTAGCTGAAACACATCGAAAGGGATACACATTTCATATAATTCAATGTGTGTCATGAAAAATTAATGAAATTTCATTAAAAGTGAAAAATTCTACATATACTAAAATAACACTGTGTGTAATGTGCGCATTTTGGCCAGTTGTCAAGTTCATTTAAATATTCACGCGCATTTAATGGGATAAAATCATTTTGTGCAATGGACAAATACCAAAGTTTCGGCCTTCACTTGGACTCTTTATTCCAGTTTCAATTACAGATTTACTGCATTTGTAAACATGTTTGTCTCTGTGTGTATTGGATTTTATCGAATATTTTCCTATTGTATGTGTATGATTAATGTATATTTAGTAGTTGGATTTACATCTCTCGCTGGCGGTATCAATGTTAACATATTGAACAACCAATCGTACGCGTCTATCATAAATCTAGCCCAAAAAATGTTTTTTTTTCGGTTACGAACAACAACACGCATCAGCCAACCAGCAATCAGCCAGCACGTAAAAAATGCGAATTTATTCCGTTAAAATGTTGGTGCCAAATGAAGTGAATATGTACGTGAGAGCATAGCTGGGCAGACTGAAAAATTCAGGGGGGGGTAATTTTCTCAAAAATTCCTAGCAAAATAGGAAAATTTCATCTATGATCCAAAAACCCTAGCAAAATGAGAAAAATTCTATCCAAAATCATGAATTTTGTAAAGGGGTAACGCAAAAATTTGTTGATTTTGTAAAGGGGTAACGCTAAAATTTGATGCCTCAGGAGGGGGTAATACCCCCCCCTCCCCCCCTTGTCTGCCCAGCTATGCGTGAGAGTAAAGCCCAAGAGGCAATCATGATCATGCACGAAGTCACGACATTTGCTTTTAAATTCGAAATTTTTATTGCACCGGATATTTAAATTGAATATATTGACCATATTATAATCGCTTTAATCATACACTTTCATGCTATCGAATACCAAATGAAACGGAATTGCATCATTCGTTCGTTTGCTTCATTTAATTATTTCCCGTGATTTTTTTTTTCTTCTTTCGCACGTTTCGGCCGAATACAAACTTTGATGCATTCATAATAAAAATGTAGTGGATATAAAATTTTATTGAGTTGTCAAATAAATATATGCACCGAATCAGAATTGGATTAAAAAATAAAAATGCGAGACACATTCTTTCGGTTGATAGCAAAAACATCTGGAAATTTATTCGAGGCGAGAAAAAATTTGGTGAGCTGAAAAAAGGAAATGAATTGATATAATGCCGCACTGATGAAATGAATAATAAACAAGAATTGTCTCAGATTAGTATCCAACAGCGTAATACAGCTGCGATATTTACGAGTTACCTACAACTAAATTAAATACGCTGCGATTTGAATGAATCTACATTTGGGATTATGGCAGAGGTGAAATTTGTTAATAATTCATGTATTCGATTTTTGAATGTCTCCCCCATGCGCGCGCACACACACACAATGACTTGCGAAGTAAATAGAGATGCCACAGACTGATTACAATAAAAACATACAAAGCCTGATAGCTCGCGGTGATTACGAATTAGTGTGTGCCTAGCATTTCGTTAAACGTTCATTGTATTTGCGCATTTCCATTTCGGGAGCGTATTTGTATCCCCAACATTAATAAACATGGATTACAATCGTGAATCGTTCACCGAATTTCCGAAAAATACGCTTCGAACTTGCTACGCGAATCCATTCGAATTTGTGCAAATTATTCATTGTTATCAATGCAATACATTATCATCATTCCGAAGGTTTTTTTTTATTTTCTACGGTTCAATTGAACCGTCTCGACATCATTTCCGAAAAAGAATCGCATATTCCTTATATATAAAGTCGGATATGGATGAATAAACGTGAGATAAGAATTTTCATCTCAACCAGTGTATATCATTCTCAGTTTCATATTCCATTTGCGAATTCAATGTTTATGTATTTTTTTATTCCGTTCGGAATAATGGCCTAATCTAATCATAACCGAAAGGAGCCCCATCATCATTGCCAAATCTAAATGAAATCTGGGCCCCACAGCCACAATCATAGAAAATGCCTAATATGTTTACATTTATTTAATTTACTTGATTGAATGGACGGTGGCCGTTAGTGGTTTAGATAAGAAAATTGATTCTCACAAGATTTATTACCATCGCAATCAACAATTTGGATACCCAAAATCATGACGATGAACAAATTTCAGGGACCTAATTCACTCATATTTTTGATGAAGAAATTTAAATTCCATTTCATTGCTCGCTGAATTTCATGTCGTTTTTGTGTGACAACGAAAATTTGTTTGGTGCATCTAAAAATGAAAATTTAAAATTCATGAACGCACATCGGGTGAATGTTCGTCTTGCAGCATACAAGAAAATAAGTAATATAAAGATGGTAGTAGTTGTGACCGCACATTCGACGATAAGTTGTGGCAATTGCCATAAACCACCACATCATGTCAGATTAAAGATTAAACGCCAATGTAAATGCTGTGGTGCCTCATAAAATATGTATAAAAAATTGCAAGTGTTGTTTGCATGTGTACTAAGCCTAAAGTAAATATTGCATGTATATTTTAGCCGAAACGGTTGTTCCACCTCGACGGAACTTCAATGTTTACACCGAGCAATGATAAAATGGCAAACAAAAAACAGCTTGTTCGTGGAAAGATGCAGTTGCACTAACAAAAAGAAATATGCGATGGTCATATATAACCGGGCAAACCAGAATTCAGAGAAAAAAATGAACTTGAACCATTTTCTTGTGTTCATTCATACTTATTTAAAAAGAAAAACTGTTTTTAAAGATATAGACATGGTATATATGCGCCAAGAGTGAGTGTGACGTCTCTTTTGGGAACGGGTCATAACAATACAAAACTGTCACAGCATGTAATACGTAAACACATGAATTCCAGACGAAAATTGAAATAACCAGTGCTGATATGTTCGGTTGCAACAAGCCAATGTCGTTCATTGGGTGGGCGCAGCCATAATCGCTGTAACAAATTATTGCATCTGAAAGTCGAATATCCTGTTGTTGTGGCCAGCTTTTAGCTTTGTTCCGTCGAAAATGGTTTCGTTTCTTTTTTCTCAGTTTTTGTTTGCCGTGTTTTATTGCTTCCGATGTTGGATGTTTGTCTTTCATCCGTTTGTATTGCATTTTCGATGCAATCATATACAGAGTAATATTGACTGCTGTTCTCCTTCACCGTTTGTCTTCTTTTGATTTTAATAAATGGCAAATCCAACAAAGGAAACATTTGCATTTTTATAGAATCAACAACAATGTTCTATCACTGTACAGTCATACACGAATCGAAGGGAATGCATACTTGATAGAATTCAATGACATTTTTCCAGTGCACCTTCTCACTTGGACATTGATGTTTTTCACATATAATATGTGCAAGTATTAGTGGCGGAAAAGACGATTCGAGGCATGACTCCAACTGTTTAAAACTGCATATGTATAAAAAATTGGAGCGAAGTAAATCGCTTTATAACTTATGTCTGATTATATTATACATTGTATGTGCTATGTGCGATGTTCTAGTACAATTGGCCTCAGTGGATGCAAGTTTTTTATTGCATGGGTGCACTTTCAAATGCAACGCAAAAGAGAGAAAAAAGATCTACCAGCATATATACGGATCGTCGATGCTTTCTAGAATTTGCGCTCGAAATGCCAAAACGACACTCAATTCGGAATTTTACATAAAACAAATTTATGGTAATTCGTATTATTGTGTAGATTTGATTGGATTTCGGGTAGAGACTATTGCAAACAGGCACTTGTTCAAATAAATCTTCATTCGCTTAGCAAGAAACCAATATGATGACGACAATGGCGAAGACGACGACGACCCGACAAAACGGAGAGAGAGAGAGACAGAATTGCCATCTCACAGCATAAACTTCTGCAGTGCCAGGGTATTTGCATTTTAAAAGGAAATTATTGGCTGCATTTGATTATGACAGCTGTATTGAATTTATGTACCAGCTTAAGAAAATAAATACTCCGTAACATGTTGGTGTACAAGAATAAAAAAGTGGAGTGAGTTGTGTAGCGTTTTCTTATGGCCTTTTTCGCTTGTAATGCGGCACGTATTTTACAATTTTTTGAACTGTACCGTATCGTTCGAACATTCCATTTACTTAGCAAATGCATTCCCTGTACAACTTATTAATTTTGTTTATTTCACTTTAATTGCTAGAAAAATATTCGTAAAATCCCTTACACTTTCTATTTTCGCATTTTATTTTTATTTCGCTTTGAAATTAACGCTGAGCGGACTGAAGCAGTGTGGCGCGCTTTACGAATTAAAAGAGCTATCGAGAAACTTCTACTTCAGCTCCTTTTCTGTTTCTATTTATATAAAATTGAATCTAATTAATCTTGATAAAATTGCAGAAAGAAATT